CATTTTGTGGGACATGAAGTTTTTAGCTAGGTTTGTCAATTTCTAATAGTTATTTCAAGAGTGTGTTCCTCGCGAGCAAGTAAATACTCGAGTAAAATTTGCATGAGTAATCTTTTACTCGAGTAATAGCTCGAGTAATTGTCGAGTAATGCGTTTTCTAAAAAGTATGCCTGCGCGAAAAAGATATAAAAGCAATTTTTTGCGCAGGTTTTGGAGTAGGCTAGTTTCCGCAACTAGGTCATTTGCGGAACTGGGTCGTTTGCGCAACTCGCCATAACCTTCTTCCAAGTGGTCTAATCTTTATGCTTGTGGTTTCATTTTGTAGATCTCAATAAGTGCAACAAAATGAAACCAACATCATAAAGATTGGTCCACTTAGAAAAAAGTTATGGCGAGTTACGCAAATGACCAAGTTGCGGAAACTAGTCTACTCCAGGTTTTTAAAAAAAAAGTCATTTTTTATATTGGAACGGAATTTCCCACCAAATCATTTAAACGGCTGAGTATCTTTAAAAAGTGTCGTATATAAGACGCGGCTCGTGATTTTCGGCATTGCAATAATTTTTGCTAAAAGTACGGGATTTTTTCCCAAGTGTGCGTTTTAAAAAACGCATTACTCGCGAGGAAAACACTCTAGTTGTTTTACTTGTAGTAATTCTATTTTTTAATCAATTCAAATCAATTCTACAACCTTTCAATCACCTGTTCAAAAGAATATAGCCACTTTTGATTGATAAGCGAAAGGAAGATTTTTCAAAGGTGATTAGGGGACAAAGAAGAGAACTGAAAATGATTTTGAAAATTATAAATCTTGAAAAGTGTTAAAGAAACATCAAAATTGAATTTTTACGGTTATCGGGCGCATCGAGTTTTTGACCAACTTGCAACTTATTTTTAAGTACCTTAAACTTATCAGATCATAAAGTTTTAATAAGATTTGGATAGCTTAGAACGTTAACTTTCAGAAAATATTTGTTTCATCAACATTTATCAATTGCAACCTATCCAAAATTGGGTTACAAGTTGGTCAAAAACTCGACCTCCGGATAACCGTGAAGGTCCCTAAAATTAAATACGTAATAGAAAATTAGACATAAATGTCTAATTTTTTAGAGATAAAGAAATTTTCATGATTGTATCATTTTTAGAAACATTGCTGTCGGTGGCGGTCTTCTCTTTTTGTTGGCCGAGAGTCAAGAAGAGCATCGATCACTTTTCGCCGGAGTGCCCACAATGGGTGACTCGAATAAGGTAAGCTTTCAATCTTTTAAAGAAAGAAATCTACACAATCAAAGCATTTCTTTGTGTCAATTTGAGATGAATACAGATTGCTGATGGATAGAATTGTTCAAATCAGCTCAAATCCCGTATTTTCTCTAATAGTAGTGCACTCGGTCGAGCCGAGTTAATGCCTAGTTTACGGTTTCCAAGTTTTGCACAGAAGCTCAACACTCTAATCCCCCACTAGATCTCATCGTCAGCTACATTTTCCGACCCCACATCGATAGGTTCTGATAAACGCTTTTCGAGATTTCAAGTAATTTAGGCAAAGCTTTAAATGAATGGCAAAGATTTAGGCAAATTTAAATAAAACTGGTTTAAAATGACTTACCGTAAATACTGTAATTGGTATCAAAGAATAGCCCTGAATTTCAGCTATTTTTTTGATACCTAAGCGCGCATTGTAGCATAAACCAGTGTCGAGAAAAACGCGTCCAAAGCTAGACTACGCAACGCTCGGCACCGTCATTATGGGGGTGGGGTAATATTACAGTATTTACGGTATATTTTGACCGATTTTGACAGATTTTCCTTTCGATTACCGAATTCTCTCTAATAGTAGTGCAGAGCCGAGTTAATGCTTAGTTTGCGGTTTCCAAGCTTTTGCAGAAGCTCAACACTCAAATCCCCACTAGATCTAATCGTCAGCTACATTTTTCTGGTAAGCTAGTTTTGTTTTCGGATTCAACACTCCCGTTTACCCAAGGAAATGGCTTGGGGCGCGTCAATTTCAGACTAAACACTGAAACCTTTTGAATTCTGTCAAATCTGTGAAAATTTAGAGGAAACTAAAGAAACCCGTTATGAGATAAGTACTTGGGATTTAACTACTTGATACAAATCATCTGTGGCTTCAAAAAAAAATGTGAAAAACATCAATAGATTATTGCATTTTCCTCCACTTTATTGAATGCCTTTTAGCCGAAAAACTGGTTGATGTTGGCCGGTCGTGTGTGCTTGATTTTCATGTTCCTTTCGCTTCTCCACTTCGAGATGAGTTTCCTTCAGGTTTGTTCTAAAACCTGAAGCAATTAGGGTCTAATTGCTTAAATCCAGGTTGTCGAAGTGGTTGTTGGCTTTGCGTTGATCACTCTTGTCACAATCGGTTTCAAGACGAAACTCTCGGCGATGACTCTTTCCGTTTGGTTGTTCGGATTGAATTTGTGGCTGAATGCCTGGTGGAACGTTCCATCTGATCGGTGAGTTTTAAAGAAGAGTAGATATGCAAGACTGAGCTGAACACTACAATGATAGCCTTTCAGTCAAGATTGAAACCTATCAAGATTGAAAGCTGCCAAGATTGAAAGCTGTCAGTCTTGTAGGCTTAAAAGTTGAGCCCTACAACACTAGACATTCTTGTCATTCAAGATTGAAAGCTGTCAGTCTTGAAGGCTTAAAAGTTGAGCCCTACAATGCTAGACATTCTTGTCAGTCAAGGTTGAAGGCTATCAGTCTTGAAAGCTTAGAAGTTGAACACTACAATACTCGACATTCTTGTCAGTATTGTAGTGTCAGTCAAGATTGAAAGCTGTCAGTCTTGAAGGCTTAAAAGTTGAGCCCTACAATGCTAGCCTTTCTTGTCAGTCAAAGTCAGTGTAAAATAGAAAATAGAGTACGATAGGGTTACTGTAGCGTTATCAGTGGTTTTTATTTGACACTGATAGCAAGTCTTCAAGAATACTGTAGACAGAAGCAATGGATTGGACCTTTACAGTATACTGTACTAAACTGTACTGTGATAGGCAGTGTCTAACTTCAGCTACAGGTACGGTACAGCTATAGCTACAGTAGGTCAGAGCTACAGTACACTGTAGTAGTACTGTATCTAAAGCATAAGGCAAGCAGCAAGCAGCAAGTATTATCATTCCAGGTTCTACCGTGACTTCATGAAGTACGATTTCTTCCAAACAATGTCGGTTATCGGTGGTCTTCTCTTGGTGATCGCGTATGGACCGGGTGGAGTATCAGTTGATGACTACAAGAAAAGATGGTAGAAAGAAAATCGATCAAATAGAAATAGTTACAGTAATCCACTTGTCCAGTGTACTTTGTGCTAAGCGGAAACGTCAATGTAAACGCACCCTTTCTAGCGCACTCAATTTCTTGCGTCTCTCAATGAGTTTCACAAAGAAATTGCACAACTAATAGTCAGTGCCCCAGAAAGTGCACGTTTACAGATTAGCACAAAGAACAAAGTCAACTATTATTTTTGATTTCAAAAATGATTACTGTAACGTTTCTCATTTGCCATTTCTCATAAAATCCTTTTTAAGCAAAAACCCCATAAACGCAGGCCATCTGGCGCATTGGTCACTTGGCTTTTTGTGCGCCAGATGCCGCGCGTTTTTGGTTCCACCCAAACACCTAAATTTTCTATACTTTTCCATATTTCCGGGGTAGACTAATTTCCGTCATTTTATTTGCGCAACTCGTCATAACTTTCTTCCAAGTAAGTCAATCTTTATGATTTTCATGTCATTTTGTAGCACTTATTGAAATCTACAAAATGATACCAAAATCATAAAGATTAGACCACTGGAAGGAAGTTATGGCGAGTTGCCCAAGGTGCTGTTGTACAAGTGATGCTGTTGTACAAGTGATTCTGTAGCACAAGTGATGCTATTGCACAAGCGATGCACAAGTGATGCTGTTGCGCAAATAAAATGACTGAAATTAGCCTACCCCGTATTTCGCCCCAAAATCTGGTCTTTTCCCGAAAAAACTAGGCTATTAACTGAGCATCTTTCTTTGTTGTTTATTTAGGAAAATTTGCGTTTTCTTTTCTTTTCCCTATCTTGACATTCATTTTTCGGTTCTGGGTGCTTTTGTATCACACAAAAAAAATTTAGTCAAATTTTCATATCATTTAAAATTTCACAAATAATAGTTAGCTACTTAATTGAATATTCTGAAATCATTTATTCTTCAAAAAAATTGTGATATTTAAGCCACTTTTTGTCGTTTTACTTTTCGCCAAAAGCTGGGTTTTGCGTCGTTTTTTGGCTCTCTCGCAAGAAAAAAATTGTTATGTAAATTTGTGTTGTAAATGTTTCCCTGTTTCCTTTTTTTGATTAGAGTTTGAATAAATATTTTGATAAAAGCATTCAGTTTTAAAATAAAAGGAATTTCATTTTCTGGGCTACAGTAAGACCTGTAATCCAGACCTTGTATTAGAGGTCTTACACTATCCAATTTTGGTATTTTGATACCATTCAATGGAAAGTGATCTTCTGCGTCGAATGACACTAAAATATCCAAATCTCAATCGACTCAGAATTCTTGCAACTACCGTATTACTCAGTAAAAACATCTATCTTAACCTCTTGATTTTGGAAATTTAGGTAATTACACTTGAGACTATGCAACAGCAAGCCACTCACGTATTCAGACAAGCGTCCCTTTGATCATTCAATGTGATTCAATTCTTTCTATAAACCGCCACATTCATTGATCATGTTCAGCCTGAAAAGCATTCACTTTATTCCTGAAAAGACATACGGAAATAATTCGCAATACAAGTTTTCAAAATGAGCACTTTAAAAAAATACACAATCTCAAAAATACAATGGATAAGCTTTAGAGGGTAGACTAAATACGATATAAAAAGCACACAAGTCGCAATGGAAAAGTACAAAAAGGTCAATTCTAAGAGAATATCACAAGAAATAAAAATTACTTTCAAAAACACATCAATTCTTACTTAAATCCGTTTCCTTTCAATGTCCGATGCGGCTTTTCTTTTCCCATGTGGCGAAAACATTGGTGAGGGCACGCTTCTTTTGATTTCCTCGCTTCTAAAATTGGGCAAGTTAATAATTCTTGACTAGTCGAGTTGGATTTCAAAAAAATTTCCAAGAAACGAACCCCGTTGATCGGGAAAAATGAGTGCAACTCGATTCTTTCATTGTTTGACAACGAGATGAACACCTGAAAGAATAATCAAAATGTCAAATTTTCAAAAAAGCACCTCTCCATTTGGTCCTCTTCCGACTACATGAGCTTGCTTTGCATCGTAGATATCGCGTTCCGGGGAGATTGTTCTAAAATGTGGATTAGTGCCGGATACTAAAACGAACTTTGAATCGACTCCATCATTCTCGAAGACTTGCATGATCTCCAGTGAGTCGCAGTGTATCACGTAGAGATATGGAGCGGTGTAGGCTAAATAGGAATAATTTGAGGGGTAAAGATCAAAAAGGTACAAACCGAATTCCATTGGTGTTAACTCCCATTCGATAATCGACTTGCGCTCTTTCTCACCGCGACTGTTCACAAAGATGCCATAATCTAAAACATAATCGTTAGCTCTTGACATGTAAGGTAATAATTTATTATCGCTTCTTTGATCCCTTACTTTGATATGCCAGCAGGACTTCATCATCTCCAGTTTCAAGAACAGCTAGAGGATAATCGGCCACATGTTCAGCCGTCAAAGTGCGCACCTAAAACGATGTTGTATAAGCAAAATTTTATTACCCAAGTTGGCTACCTGAGGCTTTCCTGAGTACAACGAGTGAGCGTGATAAAAGCTAAATTTTGAAAATTGGTGAAATCATCCAACGATCATTACCAATCAGCTCCAAAGTAGATTCCACCATGCGCCGAGAGAAGACAAGTCACTGGTTCTTGCGTTGGAATTGTCTAAAAATTGCAATACTCTAACACGAATAAGAAACATACCATATGTGCGACAAAGAAGTCCCGTTTGTACTGAAGAATGTGGATTTCTTGTGTGTCGGCAGAAAGGAGATACCTAAAATGAAAACAAAGATTGATTGCTGAATGCAATGCTTACTTTTGTTGTCCTTCTTCGTGATATTCAATCATATGCACGTACTCGATTCCAGGGATTTCTTGTTGGCGAAGTGATGGTTGACGTGACCCAAGTTGAATTCTAAAAGATGAGAATCAACACAATTTTAACTCCTTCTCCAAAAGCACCTCATTTGAGCACCGGCAAAAGACCAAGTTGACGATTTTTTCCCGAGATGCACGCCACAATGTCCACGTCTTTCATGAATAGTAACTAAATTGCCAATTGAGTTTTAACTTCAAATCTCATGATTTACCCCTGAAACCGCCCCCGAACAGGTGACCATGAATGGCATCCTGGGGTCGGCGAGAGCAGTTGCGAAGAGACCCTCTTGAGCACCGATCTAAACAGAAAAGATTATAATTTGGCAATGAATCCTTCCAATAAAGTACCAGTGTTACTCACCAGTAGCCAATCTTCAAAATCGTGGTCACATTGATGCTGAGATTTGTCGGTGTGTCCAATGCCAAAAGGAGAGTTGACGAGGAGAATTGCGATGGAGTCCGGGTCATGAAATGACGCTTCCGTAGAGCACTCTAAAAAATTCACAGTTCCACATTAAAATATGTTAATATACTTGAAAAGCCGTCATCCATCTTGATGTAGAATTGTCGGTCGGGCACAACATGTACAAGCTTTCCCCGTGTGACCGGATCTAAATAAACGACACGTTGATCAAATGAAATCTATTCAACTCACCAAGATGCAATTCTCGAACTCGCCCTTCTCTCCATTTATGAATTTCACCGTCCATTGTTCTTGTTGCAGATCCATCTTCAAGAAAGCTCTGAAGGCAAAATAATTCAAAAGCCAGGTGATTAACGAACTTTTCCAAATTCTCAACCAATCCTTCATCGTCGAAGAGCATCAATCGGCATTGTTCCAGCATCGCAAATGCGCTACGCCATTGTGGATCTCGGCTACTAAAAGAACTTCCATTAACTTGCACAAAGATTTTGAGTTACCTGTAAACTCTTACTCGTCCATTCATGATTGCTGGCTGGCTTGATGTAGACTCTTTGTATTGGACCTTGTTTTGTTGCTCATGGTAGAAAGTAGCATACTAAAATGAATGCTTCCAGATTGGCAATGATCATAGGATTTAGTTTGCACAACTCATGATCAAAGTTTTACTTATTACACTTCCAACAAACCTGTGCCGGAAATCCACAAGTGTTTGTGACCCGATTGACGCATCGTCCGATGAACAATCACACCGCATTCCAAACAACGCATAGCATGGCCAATCTAGATAAATAGTCAATGTTTGATGTTAGATTAAACCACTCACCCTTGGAATTCCTTCGAAACACATACAACATTTCATTTGTCGAACCGCGAAGCCAGTTTGTTGCCGCCATTTGTGTGGAATGTCATGCCGCATTTTGCCCATCGTCACACTCTTTGGCAGTGCCGGCTCCTAAAGCAAACATATAAATATAGTTTAATGGCTATTGATTTAACAAAGTGGTCGTAGGCTGAAGGGTAGATATTTGAGATGAAGTAATCATTTCCTTACCTCAAAGGTGTTTCCAATATGCGGAGCGCTGTTCATTTGTGCCAAAGGTTGTCGTGAAGCCATTTCTCTCCTTTGTGGTTCTTCATCTCCATTCTCCTGCTCATCATCCGTCGATACTTTCCGAACAAAGAGCTCTGAAATCGAATCGAATTAGAAGTTTTCAATCTTTTGTCCACCTATAATTTAAAAACCAAACAGCTTAACGCACCTTGTTTCTTCTGATCTAGCTGCTCTCGCAATCGCTTACGCATATTCTCCAGCTCAATCACCTCAGTCATTTCACAATCGATTTGTTCCTGAAAGATCACATTCACCGGTTGCTTTTAAAAAAACTTACAATCGAGCTATCGGACGGGTGATGAAGTAGTGTGGTCTTGCTTTTCATCTTTGGCATCTTTTGCGCATTTGTGTGACGCTGTAAATGAAACATATATCAACCATAAAAAGATATGGCTACCTGCAAGTGGTTCACCAGTTTCTCTTTTTCTTTCACCACGTCATCAAGATCACGAACTTCCGTTTCAAGTTGGCCCTAAATTTAGCAGAATTTGAATCAAGATCTGAATAGCATACCATTTTTGATCGCATAAAATCAATCTCGTTCGTCGCTTCAACAAAATGCTCGGAGATTTTCGTGGCCTCATTCTTGTATCTAGAAAAGTAAATCATAAGACATCAAACTGGTCACTGACTTTTCTGCTTTATCAATCGCTTCAGTGAGTCCACGGCGAAGCCGGATATTCTCTTCATTCGTCTCCCTTTCTCGTTGATTCTTATCGGAGAGCTAAAATAAAATAAACGCTTTCGTATTCAAAGATTTAAATTTCTACTTGTTCAGAGAGCCGTTTCACTTCTTGCTTCAATTCTTCGATTTGTCGGTTGGATGCTTTGGCTTGGGTTTCGGCTTGGCGCTGTTGTTTCTCCAAGTCGCAAATCTAAATATTGAAAGTAAAGACAACCATTTCAAATTCTACCTTTTGGTCAAGTGCCTGGGAGCTGTTGGCCGAAGAGGCAGCACTTTGTTCACTACACTGCCGTGCCAAACGAGCCAACTCTTCTCGGTAGTCAAAGTGAGTTTCACGGATTTCTTCCTAAAATTCATGATTTTGCCCTTTTCTAGTTAAGCTCACTTGTAAATAGTTGATCTTCTCGACTAGTCGTTCATTTTCAACCCTCAGTGAGAGCAATCTCAGTTTCAATCCCTCGTTGCTTCTCCAAATCCACTTCTTGTCACTAAAATGAAATGTTATTTTTTTCTTTATTATTCTTTTTTCAAATACTTACCGCAAATTTGTGTTGGAGGTCAACAATTTGTGCTTTGGCTGCAATCAAACGTTGTTCCATTGCTTTCTTTTGCTTCTAAACAAAATCTGTATTAGGTTTAACAAGAAAGACTTACCAAAACGATTTCGATTTGATCATCTAACTCAGCCAATCCTTTCACCAAAATGTTGTTCTTTGTTTCCTCCGTCTTCAGCGCTTTGCGCAATGCTTCACTTTCGGATTCCAAGCGGAGGATTGAAGTAGATTGCTGTAAGTAATGGAATTAGTTACAGGAAGCTTCATTCAACCAACTTCATCTCCTGCATGCAATTTCGCTCCCAATTCGTCAATTCGTTTTTGTAGATCATTAGCTCGTTGATTCGCAAGTTCCTAAAAACAAGAAAGTTAACTTCTTTACAATTGGGCCTCCCATACCTCTTTAATCTTGGAACGTTCTCTCTGGGAGACAAGTTGTCTGCATCTCCTCGTCGTTCACTTCCACTTCTTCTTGTTCCTTGTTCATGGCTTCAAACTAAATGAAGAATTATATTAAGGTAACACATTGGAAACGCCTACCAATTTGACTTGATCCTGAAGCTTTCCGATTTCTCGGCGACTTGCCAAAAGATCCACACCCGATTGAGCCTTTTCAAGCTTTGTCTAAAATAATAGAATTATGGATTGGTCATCAACGATAAAGCTTTCCTTTTCAGAGATAAGGAATTGATGCGTTCTTTCGGTGTCCCCTTCCATCGTGCTCAATTTCTCCTGCAATTCCTCCAAATCCTTCTTTGATTGAGTAGCTGCCTCACGAACAATGTCCAAGTCCTAAAGATAATGCTAAAATTGTACAACTTTTAAGCATCCAAGTTTTAAAAAGCAATTTGGAAAGCTTTTCCTTTGGCGCCCAAAATGCAGAGATAGAGAAAAGAGGGACAGGCGGACGGCACAGAGGCTCAAATATGTCCCCCATTCCTTTCCATTTACCTACCTTCATCAGTTCCTCTTCGCGTTGTTTTAATTTCGGCCACTTGCTTGTTGAGGAACTCGTTCGTAGCTGTCATCAAGTCCGGTATTTGATGAGATCGACTTGTTAAAATGAAAAGTTGATAAAGGTGAGTTAAAATAGATCACTTCCAACAAACTCACCAAGTAGCCCAAAGCATTACTGATCGTGAAAGAGTGACAATTGTCAGCAGAATTTGCTTATAGCTTTTTAGTGAAACTTTTGCATCCAAATCGTTCACCTCATGATTCGAACTGGAAGTTGAAGATGGAAGTTAGTCGAGAGCTGCAGATGTTCGTCGAGCATTTGTCCAAGGTTTTTCCCAGTAGAATGAAACGCTTCTTCGTAACTTAAACAAGACAACTGTCAAAACAAGAAAGCATTCTGTTTTAGCTTGTAGTGATGTTGTACTCTTAGCCAGAGCATGCATGGTTTAACGTG